AGAGAGAGAGAGAGAGAGAGAGAGAGAGAGAGAGAGAGAGAGAGAGAGAGAGAGAGTATGTGTGTTGGGGTGAAACTACAGGGACAAAGAAAATGCTGTATTCGATGTCTGAGAAGCAGGGCCGTTTGATGGATCAGCCAGAGAGTGCGGGAAAGATTCCTGGTTTTGTCGAGTTTTTCAAGGTATGTTGCTATGCGTAAAATCGTGTATAGTTTTGGTTTCGTTTTTCTAACGTTTGCGATTTATTTCCTTTTTTTATTTTTTTTGTTATCCTGTGGGATAATTGTAAATGAGCCCGGAAAAAAAAAACAAAAAAAAACAGACAAGGTGTGGCGAGTACGAGAGATGAATGGTATAGGTGTATGTGAGAAAGAGGGGAGGGGGGAATCATAGAAAACAAGCGGCATACGTGTGCAGTAATTAAAGCCAACAATACTCTAAAGAACTGTGAAGCTTTGAAGTCTGAACATGTAGAGAAAGAGAATCATCAACAATGCTCTCTTTTTTTCCCTCTCTTTTTTCCCCTTTTTTTATGAGAATGCTCTCTCACTTTCGTGATGTGGACGGATCGCGGCTGCAACGACCTCTCAGGGCATACTCACAGCAGGAGTTTTTGGGTGTATTTTGGACGTAATTACTGTCAGTTACATGGAGATAATCATGGTCAGGTATAGTGAAGAAATTCGTAGTGCGAGTATGCTCTCAGCCATTTGGACACGAGGACGTTGTTCTAGAAAAAGCATTTTTGTTGCTTCGTGGAGGGAGGAAGGATCTGTGAGGGTTCATTCTTAATTTCTTCGGACCAGTTGACATGCTTACTGTGTACACTGTACACAATTTGTCTTTCTGTTTGTTCTCTCTATTAAAGAAAGAAAGACATTGTAAATATGTTCGTTTTGCGAATCCTGCCACGACCTTCATGTGGCAGTTATGGTGCCTTACTTGTGGAGAAAGAAAGTTGGCAAGTTGTTGTGGAACGCCCTTATTTTTTGGGTCTGAGAAGGACTGGACGAGGAGTGTGAAATGCTGCAGCAAAAAAGACAAAAAAAGGAGGACAATTTTGGAATTGAAAGGCCCTCTATGTGTTCTAGAATCTAGATACGTCTGTTTGCAATTTTATTTTTTTCCTTGTACACATTTTGTTTTACTTGTGAGTCGTGAAGTTCCATCATCTAGATTCAAACTCCGGTCTGTATTTCAACAGTTCATGGGTGTAGCCACTGAGCTAGGCTCTTGGGTGTTAGTATTATTTTACTAGTAGTTAAAAAAAAAAAAGTTATAGAATCTAGATCAATGTTTGCGAAACGATGGACTCTTTATGAGTTATTAGCTGCTGCTTCAAGTTTAATTATTACTAAGTAAAGTCTGTGCAGTCTTCAGCTTGTAGTATTTTACTGTTTTGTCATTACATGTGTGTTACTGTGCGCACATGTTTCTGACATACTCCTGACTGTTGATTTGACCGTACACATGTGCTTGACGACTCACTGCTCATTAGGACAACATCAACATTGACGAGATGAAGTTACCTCTGGAAGAATACAAGGTAAGTGACCAGCATATAATCTGCCGTGGGTAATGCTGCTGATGATGATGGTGAAGATGAAGCTCTGTCATCAGTGAAAGTTCTTTTCTTGCATGATGATGATGATGATGGTGATGATGATGATGATGATGATGATGATGATGATGAGGAGGAGGAGGAGGAGGAGGAGGAGGAGGAGGGGGAGGAGGGGGAGGGGGAGAAGAAAGAGGAGGAGGAGAAGGAGGAGGAGAATTATATTGATGATGATGATGCGGATGATAGTTGGTAATGGTCATGATGATTGTGATGATAGGTGGCTATGAGGAGGAGGAGGAGGAGGCTCTGGCATCTGAGTTTTGAAGAGGGAAAGTGAGGTTTATGAAACTTCATGGCACGCTACCATCTCCTTTTTTACATGTCTTTACTTTTCAATTTTTTCTTACCGTCTTTTCATGCCTTTTGCTGACCTTGATGCAAGGCATAAGGCCCTCGGCCTACTGTAGGATGGAAAGGGCTTGCGCCCGCCCTACATGAAGACGGCTGCCTGAAAATTCAACGACGCCTGAAATTGAGGCCAATGTGGGCAGGCAGGGCCTCTGAATTCAAGCGGAAAGGTTGCGGGCTGGTTGCTGCATGCATCACCAGTAGGCTCGATCGTTTGAAGATGCTGGGCCCAGCAAAGATGCTGAGGCCCAGAGCACTTACAGCTGAGCCCCAGGCATGTTCTGGAAGGGCCGTGGGCGCAGCTACTCGAACAGAGGCCGAGCATCCAGAGCCTGCCTCGCCCAGCCAGCTGGAGCGCAAAAGGAAGTGAGCTCTCTGGCTGGCTTGCTGGACGAATGTCGGGCAGATGACAAAAGGCGCTGGCGGGGCGCGAGGAAGAAGCTGTGTGGGAGCAGCTGGACGGCAGCAGCCATAGCTGGGCAGCTGGCGCCATAGTCTGGGAAGATGAGTGGTGGTCCTTGGGTGAAGGGCGACATGCGGAAAATCAAGGGATGAGTGGGGCATGTGGGCACTTACCTGGTGATGATGATCGGGCCACCATAGTCAGAGTCGTCATTCGTCATCGGGCTGCTGATCTTCATGAAGACCTGTCGTCGTCATGGTAGAGTCTAGGTGATAGGTGCTGTCTGGTTGTAGTTTGGGCGCCGGGCACCATATAGGAGAGCAACATTGTGGACATTCATTGTTGGAGGTGAGGAGAGGGCTTTCATTGTGAATTGGACTTCAGTGCTTCGCTCTTATTTGGTGTATCTCGTGTTGCAATCTGCTTTCAGTTCGAGCACATATCTGATTTCTATGGGATGATGCAATTTGGTTTCTGTCATTCACTTTGCTCATTTTCCTTGCATTGATGGGTCACTGCCTCCTCCTCCTCCTCCTTCTTCCTCTTCTTCTTCTTCTTCTTCTTCTTCTTCTTCTTCTTCTTCTTCTTCTTCTTCTTCTTCTTCTTCTTCTTTTCCCAAAAAACAGAACCTTATGGTTCTGGCTCCTTTCCATTCTGGGGAGCATCAGTCCGGTTCCTATTGCACCGGCAAGTCAGAAGAGATTACAATAGATACTCACACACGCCTCCCCGTTCCTGTTGAGATGCCGGAGTGGACGGCATTAATTACTTCCCGAAGGACGGATGTACCACCCTCACCCCTGCCTAAGTTAGCCTGCATGACTTGCTTTTGAAGTTGGTCGCGATTCTGACCACCACTCACCCCTGCCTGAGTTAGGCTGCATGACTTACTTTTGAAGTTGGCCTGCCTATGCTCACTACCACCTCTTGCGTTTTTGTGTCATCGGTTTTTTCTTTGCAGACATTCAATGAGTTTTTCACGAGAGAGCTTAAAGCAGGGGCGCGACCAATTTATCTGCCTGATGAGGATAAGATCGCTGTCTGTGGTGCTGATGCAAGGTTAATGGCATTTGATAATGTGAACGACGCAAAGCGGTTCTGGATTAAGGTGAGAGTGAATGACCTTTCTTAAGAGTGTATTGTTATGATCCTATGCCATTCATAATGCGAAACTCAGATTGTGCGAAAATGCAAGCTTTGCTGAACTCAAAAGACGAAGTGGAAAGAGAGAAAGAGCGGAATAAAATGATGACAGAAGCAGCAGAAAAATAACACAAGTTGAAACTTGAAAGCAATTTCCCATACTACTACTTTCGTGGGCGGCAACTGTGGACTCATCATTTTACATTTGGTTGGTGTGTTGTGGATGTGCATTGGCTATGTTGTGATGCTTGGGATTTTTGTTTTTGTACGTAAACCGGACCAAAGGGGCGGAAGTTCTCTCTGAAGGGCCTGCTAGGAAGCAAAGGACTCGGTGAGGAATTCAGCGGCGGAAGTCTTGTCATATTCCGGCTAGCACCTCAGGTAAGTCAGAAACAGAGGTTTTCCACTTGAAAAATCTGCTGGCTGACCTTGGTTGCTGTTGAAGACTCGACTAACTAACCATGCTAACATCACACATAGTTCCCAAAGTTTTTAACTTAACTACGGTCACTGTGGTCATCATTGTAACTGCAGGTAATTGCGTTAGCGTTCACAACTGCCGTAAGTGTCGTGATCAATCTGTTAATTCTTGAAAGTGTGGTAGATGTGGCATGCATGTTAACCGTAACTATGGTGTTAACTGTCAAACCAATACTTTAAAGTTCGCTGGCTGCAGCCTAACTGGTAGGCTCTGCGATAGAGTTCTCGTGCGCTGGCGGCCTTTGGATGGGTCGATCCAAAGGCTGTGTTTGCTGGTTGGATGTTTTTGGCGTTAAAGGAGATCAGTTCCTCGCCGCGGATCACAGTCGATTCATTGGATCTTTGCACAAATTTTACATCGTAAGGCGGAAGTCGTTGGGTTCGTCTGGATCCGTTGATCTTTAGTAGTGGACCACATTTTACATCGTAAGGCTGAAGTCGTCGGGGTCCTGTGGATCCGTCGATCCTTAGTACTGGACATTGTGGATTTGTTGAGAACCTTATTTCGCAGAGATCTGACATTCTGACATGTGCATGACATGGTGTCTGTCCAGGTAAAAAGAAAAGACAAGAAAAGGAAAAACAGTTTCAGAATCGTGGGCTACGGTAGATTGCATGCGGGTTTTCCTTCTACCACGTCGGGGTCTTTGGCATGAGATGTCAGTCGTGTCAGCGTGCGTCAGTTTCTTTTGTTTTCCGCTTCGAAGCCCGTTGTGTCAAGCTGTTTTCTTTTTTTCCTTTTCCGAATCGAAACCAAGGGCCTGGCTCGACTACTCAATAGAGTCAATACTCTACATGCAGCATTTAGATTCTTTCTGTACCAGGTGCTTGTGGACAAGTCCAACATTTTGAACCTATCGGGTCCAGATAGCATCCAAATGTATGTAAACATTGTAAAGTGTTGTGCAGTGGAGCGAGGCCCAAATCTTCATTTGATTATTTTTTAACGTGGCGACAGTGAGGCCGTGAGATGTTCAGATCAGATGGCAGGAATCGCTGGGTACATGAAACAAAGGGCCTCGCTCCACTACTCACTAAATCTGCAAACTGAGAGTGAATATTCTGCTAGAATATGGGAAGATACACCACCATATATTTTTTGTCTTTTGTGTCAGTAGTGGAGCGAGGCCTCAGCTCTAAACGCCACTGGTGGGGCTCGCATGTTCTAGCGGCGAGCCCCACTCCATTTCAGGGCTCGCATGTTCTAGCGGCGAGGCCCTTAGCCCTGGCGGTGGCGCTCTTCATACCAGGGTCGATGTCAATCTTCCCTGTATCGTTCAAATTCTAACCGATATCCCGCCATTCCAACGAAGCCCATGTTGTTTTACTTTTCCATTCTGATCGTCCTCTGACTTTCGCGCTTTTGCTTATCGAACGCCCGTGCATGACGTATTCGCACTTCACTTTCTCCGTGCACTTCAGTAAGACAAGAGAGAGAGAGAGAGAGAGAGAGAGAGAGAGAGAGAGAGAGAGAGAGAGAGAGANGAGAGAGAGAGAGAGAGAGAGAGAGAGAGAGAGAGAGAGAGAGAGAGAGAGAGAGAGAAGACGGCAGAGGGAGGGGAAGGCAGACTGAAGGTGGAGGCAAAGGTGGGGAGGCAGAGGGGACGGCAGTGGGGTGGCGAGAGGTATGGAGGGAAGACAGCAACGAATAGGTTGTGAGAGGGAGATGGCACAAGGGAGGAGGGAGGTAGAGCCTGGGATGGAAGAGGGAAATGAAGCGATGGAGGGGAGAGGTAGATAGCAGGAGGGAGGTGGGAGATGGAATGAGGGAGAAGAGAGGTAGGTAGCGGGAGGGATGAGGGAGATGACACAAGGGAGAAGGGAGGCAGACGGCGGGAGGGAGAAGGGAGAAGGGAGATGGAGCGATGGAGGAGAGAAGTAGACAGCACGAAAGAGGAGGGACATGCTGCGAGGGAGGAGGGAAATGGCACGAGGGAGTTGGAAGGGGGAGGGAGGAGGGAAGTGGAAAGGGGAGGGAGGATAAAGGTGGACGGCCAAGGGAGGAGAGAGGTGGACGGCTGGAGGGAGGCGGGAGGTGAACGGCGAGAGGCGAGAGGCGAGAGGCGAGAGGAAGGAGAAGGTGGCAGGGAGGCAAGAGATGGTAGGAGGGAAGAGAGAGATGGCCCGAGGGAGGAGGTAGGGGGGAGGTGGAGGGAGGGCGAGGCAGAAGAGGAGGGGGGCATGCAATGGGGGAGAGGTACGGAGGGGAGATGGCGGCAAATGTGTCGTGAGAGAGAGAGAGGGAGGAGGAAGGTGGCAGATGCGGGAGGGATTAGGGAGATGGAGCGATGGGGGAGGTATATGGCGGGAGAAAGGAGGGAGATGGAGGAGGAGGAGAGAGGTGGATAGCTAGAGGGAGGAGGGAGATGACACAAGGTAGAAGGGAGGTAGATGGTGGGAGGGAGCAGGGATATGGACCAATGAAGGAGCTGAATCCTACAAAAGCACGGCTACAGGTGAGTACAAGGGCCTTTCCAGCGCACAAGTACCGTGGCGGGTCACAAAATCCACAGGGTAACAGGGATAGGGCCAGGGCTTGAAGAGGTTATACCGCTCCACTCTTCGTGCTCCAGCTTGGTCAATGGCACTGGTCAACGCCTGCCAGTCAATGCGGGTTAAGCCTCCTCAGTCAACGCTTGGTGAGTTTGCTGGTCAACACTTGGTCAACGTTCACTGGTCAACACTTGGTCAACGTTCGCTAGTCAATGCTTGCTCAACCCTCCTTGGTCAATGCTTGGCTATCGCATCTATCTTCCTCTGCCTCACCCTTCTCTCAGCTTCATCACCTCTCTCTCTGTTGCTTGTGTCACATTCGTCCTCCTCAACAGTCGTCTTCTTCCTTCTTCCAGCCTGGCGGCTATGGCCGCCGTCCGCTATGGCGGATTCTTCACTTCCACATTGCGGGTAAGTCCCTTCTTATCTCTTTCTCTCTGCCGCACTTCAGCTATGGCGGCCTTCTCCTTCTTGGCGCGGACAACGGGAACCATGAAACGGTTTCACCCAGTTGACCCGACATTTGCAGACACTGAGATTCGATCCCTAGACCTGTGCCTGAACCCTGTACATTGACCCTGTGAGCTGAATGAGATTCGATCCCGAGACCTGTGCCTGTGCCCTGTACATCTACCCGGTGACTGTGTGAGATTTGAACCCGCGACCTGTCCTGTGTCATAGGTTAGGCTGTAGGTCGGGTAAGTTGGACTTGATCCCTAGGTCTGTAGGTTAGTAGTTCAGTCTGTTACCGTTAGTCCTAGGAGGGTCTGTTCTAGAAGTCTCTACCTGAGTCTACTGAGGGCCTAGAGTCAGTCCGTAGGCCTGTAGGCTCTAGAACACTGTAGGTCCCTGTAGGCCGGTCCAGTCAGCAAGTATCAGGGAAGGGCTGCACGTGGGGGAAGGTTCTGGCCACGCGGTATGCCGAAGGGTCCGGAACACACGTTTTGGGGCCCAGCAGCCCATGCGTTTTGGCCCAGAAGGCCCACGCGTTTTGGGCCTACCAGGCCTACGCGGCCTGGAAGATTCTAGACCTGGGCCCCACGCGGTAAGGGGCCAGGCCCATGCGTTTTGGCCCAGGCCCACACGTTTTGAGGCAGGGCTCGGCCACCTCCGAAGAAGTATAAATAAAGAGGCAGCATCCAGCCATTCATTCATTTGCCTGTGAGCCATGCGGAAGCACTTCTGCGTGGAGGTCTGCAGGTGGCTGGAGCTGAAGTGGGCAGTGAGGAAGGCGACGGCCATAGCTGGCCAGGAGGAAGACGGCGGCGGCCATAGGTAGGAGGAGGAAGGCGACGGCGTCCATAGCAGCCCAGCTGTTGTCACAGACCTAGTGTACAGAGTGTGTGTGCGTGTGTAGCGTGGACATTCAGGGTAGATCCTCGTACATGCGTGCATGAGGGAGAGTGAGGCTGGTGGTGGAGACTGTGTCCGGCAGCCATAGCCGCGAGTTGTACAGTTGACCTGAACAGAGTTTAAGTGCAAGTTCGATGTTGATTCTGAGTTGAAAGAGTTTGGTTTGCCATCAGTTGTGTGTATGCATGATGTGAGCAGGTTTGGAGTGCAGTCTGATTTCAACCAGCTCCGATACCAGTGAAATCAGACTTGTCTGAATCTCGCTTGCAACATGCATACATGTGTGTGCCGATGGAAAATCAACTTCATAAACTCAGCATCAGCAATGAACTTGAGATGGCGACGTGCTCCCACACAGAAAACTCAGAGATATGCCCTCTGGCCAGGAACTCAGCTTAAGTCAACTATTACAACTTGTGGCTATGCCACCATCAGCCTCACTCTCACTCACGCATACACGCACAAGGATCTACCCTGAATGGCCACACATCACACACACACACACACACACTGCACTCTCTCTCGTTGACGTCAGCATCTGGCGGCTATGGCCGCTGTCGTCTTCCTCCTCTCAGCTATGGCCGCCGTTGTCTTCCTCCTCTCAGCTATGGCTGCCGTTGTCTTCCTCTACCCACTTCAGCTTCGGGTACCTGCAGACCTGCAGCGCACAAGTTGCTCCAGCAGCACTTCCGCATGGCTCACATGTGAATGAATGAATGGCTGAGTTCTGCCGCTTTATTTATACTGGCCTGGGCTGCCCCCGGCCCTGGGCCCAAACCGCATTAGGGCCTGTGGGGCCCAAAACCGCGTGGGCCTGTGGGGCCCAAACCGCGTGGGCCTGTGGTGCCCCAAACCGCGTGGGCCTGTAGGGCCCAAACCGCGTGGGCCTGTGGGCTGCAAACCACGTGGGACTCTCACCTGGTACCTGCTGACTAGACAAGGTGGACTGTGGCTGACTGCACTTTGCTGACTCAGCGACGACGATTGACCTCTACTGACTTGTAGAACTCCTAGGACTTAGACTGACTGACTTTTGGTAGGACTTAGAGCTAACCTATACGACAGACCCTAGGACTGCTAAACTAAGGCTCACGGTTCAAGTCCATGCGACCAGACACTGCACACAGACTGTTGACAAACTACTTTTTGGTCAGGTCGCGGGATCGAGGCACACGGGGTCAACAGGTACCGTACACATGGAGAGGGGTTAGGATCGAGTCCTGATGTCTGCAACTGTTGGGCAAACTGGGTGAAACCGTTTCAGTCCGGACCATTGGAAAAGAAAACAAATCCGAAAAAAAAATGTTATGCAGAATAACAGTGCAAACCACTTTTGCCTCAGACTCATGTCAGAATTCCTAACCAAACTTGATTTAAAACTTAAAAGTCAAAAACTATAAAAAGCTGAAAAAAAGACTTTAAAAAGTAACGAATTATTAATAATTCATTACTTGGGTATTAGTAATAAATTATTATAGCGATAGACCATGTCTGGACCCCCCGAAAAAAACAGAAACGGGCCTGAAAAACCCCCAAAACAATTTTGGGGGCTTGGCTCCTCAGTGGGGAAGGGTCCTGGACGGTTTTTTTTTTTTTTTTCGAAATTTGGCAGCTCCGGACCTTCAGGACGGACGTCTGAAGTCCGGACTGAATCCAGACCGTCTGGACGGCGGTCCTGACAACTGGATCGTAGCCATTGTGTGTACTATTCAGGAGTTAAAGTCGTGAGATCGTTATTAATAAGCTACATGTGTTTACCATATCAAGACATGCATGTGTTTACCATATCATATGCATGCGTTGAACCAACGGGCTTAACTCAGTTGGTACTCCCGTAAACTGTTGAAATGCAGACCTGAGTTCGAATCCAGATGGAACCAGATGAACAAAATTCCTGAATTACCTAGGGCATGCATTTACCATTCAAGAATCAAGACTTGAACTCGCCGAATCTCTCCCAAAACCACCTCCTGTCGCAAGAGACCTGTCTTTCACTCAAGTGATGAGGGATCGTTGAGTTTATTGTTCAACTCTAGGCTACCAGAGTCGGGGAGCACGTGCCCGGCTGGGCCAAACAAACGAAAAAAAAGAACTCCTATTTTTTATTTTCAAATTGGTAAAGAATTTGGGCATGACCCTGAGAAAAAAGTTGTTTAGTAACTTTAGTTTCTTTTTCTGCATAATTTTATTTTGTTTTTGTTTTTGTTTTGTTTTGCAAGGACCTTGCACGTGCCTTGCTCGGCTGGCCCGCCTGGGCAGGCAACGTGGCCCTTGCAGCCCGGTTGGTAGCCCCGAAGGATGCGTTTATGATTCGTCTATTTTTGTTTCTGCTCTCTCTCTCTACAGTTTGGTTTAACTCCCAAAGTGAGTGAAATGTTGTTCTGTTTCTTTTTCTGTGTCAGGATTACCATCGGTTCCACTTTCCAGTGAGTGGCCAGATCTCTAGTATCACCGACATTCCTGGACATCTGTATACAGTAAGTTTCTTATTTTCTCCCTACTCTTCCTCCTCTCCTCCTCCTCCTCCTCCTCCTCCTCCTTTTCTTCCTCCTCTTCCTCCTCCTCAATCTCCTACTCCACTTCTTAATTCCTCCTCGTTCTCCTCCTCCACTTCTTAATTCCTTCTTGGCCATCATCGTGGTAAAACTATTTGAGTCCCAAAATTGCAGTGTAAAGTAGAGAGGAAAAAAAAGAAGAGAACAAAGAGAGGGAACAAGAAAGGGAAAGAGGAGGTCCTTCGGCCAGACGGAAGGAAGTGTGGGTGAGTACTCATGATGTAACTTTTTATTCTGACTTGCCGGTGGAATAGGAACCGGACTGATGTTCCCCAGAATGGAAATGGAGCCAGGACCATAAGGGCCTGTTTTTGTAAAAAAATAAAATAAAGGACGGATAGAACTGCTAGGCGTCAAGGATGGCTCCTGCAAAGCATTGCTGAGTAATGGCAGATATGTTGGGAATCCCATGCAACTTTCACACTTTCATGCTTTCACGAATTGACAAATTTGACACCATATGTATTATATATGACGTTTAGGGCCCCACACAAAATCTGGAGGAATGGCTCCTTTACAGGCCTTGCTCCTCTACACAATATTCTACAGGTATGTGGAGAAAATCATGGATCAAAGAATTTGAACGGATTGAACATTTTGAATGCATCTGGACCATACTTGCAACCGCACGAGCCGCACATTAGTGCGGAGCGGTGCGGAGTACGGCCTGCAGGAGGTGCTCGATCTCCGCACATTCCGCACCCGCACCAACCAGATCCGTGCGGAGATCCGTGCGGGGGGTGGCTGTGCGGGTGCGGAAATGTGCGAGGACGTGCGCTACGTGTACCGCACCGTGCGGAGCCGTGCGGGACGTTTTTTTTTTTTTTTTATAGGGGGTCTGAGGGGTCCGAACGTGCTGCTCCTTGATCAGATCTCTCCTTGACCATGTTGGCGGCGAACTTGCTGCTCGTCATTGCGACCTGCACACATCAAAAATGGGCAGGACCACCAAATCAGCCATAGTCCCCATTACATCCCCAATTCACCCACACCAGACTCTGTGTCCTCCCCCCTCCCGCCATAGACTCCTCCACAACCACCCACCCCTTTCAACACGGCTGGCCAAACAGGACAAACTCAAAAAAAAATAAAAAAAATTGCCAGCAGTCGCTGTCTTCGGAAGTCTTCCTTCAAATCAAGTGCACGATTATAGACATAATTAATAATATAACAGAAATGAAGAAAAAAAGACAAAAGGGGGTATGTTGTCTGCCTGGAAATCAAGTGGAGGAGAGATGCAGGGCAGATGCAGGAGATATGGAGGAGAGATGGAGATATGGAAGAGAAAGGTGGTGAATGGAGGAGAAATGAAGACGGAGGGGATATGAGAGGGAGATGGGGATGTGGAGGAGAGGTGGAGGGGAGAGGGCGAGATACAGAGGTGGAGGAGAGATAGACATGGAGGAGAAAGGTGGAGGTATGGAGGAGCGATGATGTTGCACCTGGTGGAGGCATGGAGGAGAGATGAAGGTGGAGGCATGGAGGAGAAATGAAGGTGGAGGGTGGAGGAGAGATGGATGAGAGATGGAGGAAAGATGGACAGGTGGAGGGCAAAGGTGGAGGCATGGAGGAGAGGTGAAGGTGGAGGGCATATGAAGGACAGATGGAGGAGCGATGCAGGAAAGATGGACAGGTGGACAAACGTGGAGGCATGGAGGAGAGGTGAAGGTGGAGGGTATATGGAGGACAGATGGAGGAGAGATGGAGGAAAGATGGACAGGTGGAGGACGAAGGTGGAGGCATGGAGGAGAGATGAAGGTGGGGATATGGCGGGGAGACTGGGATATGGCGAGCACCGAGTCCAGGAACAGGAAACAATGAAAAAAAAAACGAGCGGTATTTCCAGCGTTTTCCAGCGGAGGGGATATGGCAAGGAGATGGGGGGTTATAGTAGGACCTGGAGGACGACGAAGGAGAGTAGAGATGGAGGAGGAGAAGAGGTGGAGGGAGGAAAAGACGGTACATGAACCCCTAAAGTGCCCTGTACTTCAAGCCCTAACAGCCCCTGCGCATTAAGCCCTACAGGCCCCTATAGATCAGCATGACCCCTGCGCAAGGATGACAAACAAAAATCGAGAAAAGGTCGAACAGAAAAACCAGGCTCCTTCGGGACATCCGTTGCAATGGGAACGACACGGAGATGATGACCATGACTCTGACGCAAGGATGACCCACGATTCGAGAAAAGGTCCAAAAAAAAAAAAAAAAAAGCTCAATAGATTGGATTATTTTTGAAATTTCAATACCTAGGTGAGAGAGGAGGAGGACGAGGTGGACGCAGAGGTCGTGCTAATCTTCTCTGTATCGTTCCCAATCTTCTCTGTATCGTTTCTCTGCTTTTCGCAGAGCACGACCTCTGCGCAAGGATGACACACACAAATTTTAATCGAGAAAAGGTTGGAAAAAAAAAAAAAACTCGATAGATTCGTTACCTGGGTGGGAGAGGAGGAGGACGTGGACGACGAGGGCGACGAGGAAAGGGAGGAGGACGACCTGGAGGAGGAGGGCGACGAGGGCGATGAGGTAGGGGAGCAAGAGGAAGAGGAGGAGGAGGAGGAGGAGGAGGAGGAGGAGGAGG